ATCTTGACCTGACAATGTAATTTGAAATTTAAAAGTCTAACTCGAGAATGACAACTTTAGGTCGATAAGAATGTCTCGAATAAATAAAAACGGCGAGTGAAGAGGTATATTAGGTCAATTACGAGCTCAGTAAGTGGGACAAAGAGACCTCAGTTACTCTTGAATCGAGTTATCCTAACCCGACCAGAGTGGTGTCGTCCAGGTGATATGTGATACCATACCGAGTTGAATAGAAACGAAAAGCAGTCCAGCTAAACAGGTGAACTGGCAGGCCAATCAGAAGACATAAACCACAAAGCTCGCTAAAACATTAGGTCGATGTTGACTCCACCGGATAAGAAACACGTCAACATGTCCAGCGAGGACCCTCAGATGACCTGATAGAAACTCGACCTAGAAGTATACGGGTTGGTGGATTGACCTAAAGGACAGGACACAAGCACATGGAGGAGACAATATAGCTCGATGCAAGCCAAGTTGGTCGTACATTGTCTAATAGAGCAGACTGAGAGATAAGAAAGATTATTATCAGGATAAGAAACACACATGGATTGAGACACATGGCCTAACAAAGCTAGGTAGTTCGGGCACTCGGACAATAAGAACGGGCAGTTCGGGTAACCCATCTGGACAGACTTGAGAAACAAGATACCACCCCAATATAAAAGGGGTGAGGTATGACAATCCAAACTCTACACATTTTATATGTTTACAGACTTTTAAATACACTATTCATCGTCTTTTTAATCTGTGAACAAACTTGATCTTCGGAGTGCTAACGTCGGGAACACCTCCTGGCCCATTTTGGCAGGTCTTCGAACAGGTCAGGGAGTAGATCCAAGTCATGCGAACCCGATCAAAGTCTCTTTGCACACCACAAGTGAAAGATGAAGGTGGAAACAAAAAGACCTGGGCAACTGTTTTTCCTTGTGTGCAAGTGAAACTCCAATTGACAAAGGAATTCGGGTTGAACTCTTTCTGTAATCGGGCATGGAGCTTGCTACTGATTATACTAGGCGTAAATGAGGAACCAAACCCAACAGCCACGACAAAAAAAGCAGGCTCTAAATATTTTCTTTTTCGTTAGAAAATGACCTCCATTTATTTGAAAAAATACACAGGCATCTACAAATTTATTCTTGTTTTTATCTTTAGTTTTTTTTATAAAAAAATATAAATATACTAATAGTGAAAAGTTGATTTATGATTTATCTTACATTTAGGTATAATTTGTGTATAGATTTATTTATAATGTGGTATTTAAAATTATTAGTAAATATGTAAAAGTTCCATTTTTTTTTTGTTTTTTTTTGCAAGGCATTTATTTACTTTTTATTTTAGAGCTATGAAGCAAACATAAGCTATTGGACAAAATTAAAGAATTTTTAATAAAAAAATACCAGTTGATAAAAAAATCCCAGTTGAGTATAGCGGGTGCTTCTCCAGAACAAGTCATAACTCATAACCTTAAAGCTACGCTACACCACGATTAGTATCTTCTGCAATAAGGTTAAAATTAATGATACAATATGGATTAAAAAAGAGAGAAAATTAATTATATTGAACACGAAAGATGCTAATGATCACAAACCGATCAACTAGCATATAATACGACTTGGAATCAAAGACACCACACTACATCACAACTTGGTAAATATTAGTAAACCCCAATATAATTGTAATTATAGTACGTACGAACTATTTATTCTCCATAGCATCACACTGACAGCCTTATTACTACACATTATTATATCATAGCCTACATTTGATTTCATGCATCAACAGTTGATTTTATATATTTTGATGACTTCAATGTTTGCGGAGGTAGGATTCGGCAATCGCCCCACCACCTCCATTGGGCAAGAACCCACCCGGCTTATGCACGTCTCCCGACCCATACACGATGGCCAAAATCTCCTCTGGAGTCCGGTCGTATGCCACTGAATTCTCGTTTCCAGCAAGCACATTCCCTGCAATTTTGCCCTCGGCGCCTTGCGACTTATCAACTACTATGCCCTCGTCTTTCACCCCCTGCCCTCCGAGATTGTCCCTGAGGCTCGAGATCTTGCTTGTAAATTCTGACACCTTGAATCTGTACGGTTTTACAAGTTGATCGGCTCTTTCGTACAACATTTCCCGTATCACTGCATCCTGTCCTGATTCCACCGCCAAAAGACCCCCGACCAGCTGAATTAATTTAAAACACACACAACATTATATTAGTGTTGTTAATTTATTTCTTATAATCATATCGACCGTAGTTTGGTTTAGAATGTTGTAGTGTCACCTTTCTATAAGTGGGGTTCCACAAGCAAGGCAATGCCCCAACGTATCCGGTTAGTCCGACGTATGGGATGGCATACGACGCGATAAGATAGTTTATATCGTTCTGGTAAGGGTTGAATGGGGGGTCGAGTGTCTCCCCAAACGCATTGTCCATAATATTTGCAAATACGCTGCTACTCAGATCGAGTTGTGGTCTTGGGAATCCAGGTTTGCCGGTATTATTCTGTAGTGTTCCTTGTATCGCCCTACGCACATTAGTAGATATTTAGATATATAGATATTATATATACACATGCAATAATTGACTATTATATATTTTCAAATTATATATATACAGCTTGCTGACTATTAGCTGATTAGCTGATAGGGGATTACATTAACATATTTTAGGTGATAGCGGATATTGTGGTGCCATTATAAAAATTTAATATTGGCATATAATATTCTACAAACACTCTATATTGAGATTTTTTTTTTTTTTTCACAACTATTCTGAGATACTAATCAAATAAGCTATTTATCAAACAAGATAGTTAGCGGATTTACTACCGTATAAATGAGTTAGTGGTAGAATATTAGTATTACACACACACATACATACAGACACAAACAACATACACACACACACACACATACATACAAACACAAACACACACACACACACACACATACACACACACACACACACACATATATATATATATATATATATATATATATATATATATATATATATGAAAAAAAGTGAGATGATCCACAACCTGAGATGTCCGACTTCCTGATAAGCCATTTGTTTGATATTGTCGAGAACATACTGGCCTAGGTTGGCCTTAGTGCAGCCGATAGGCCGTGGGCCATTCATGGCGATTTGGCGAGCTTCGTGGTCAAGGCCATAGCCGAATGCACCACATAAGAAAAATTCAGCCTCCAAGTACTCCAGATTCAAGGGAAAAGCCATGAGTTCATGATCGTAAATTAAGTTGCATTTCGACATTGGTGGCCAACCTGGAGAACCTTTCGGATAGCCGACACAGAGGTGTAGGAGGAGGAGGAAGGTGGCGGCTGATGCAGTGGTGATGAAAAACGCCATATATATGAGTATACTTTGGTTGATTTTAATTGTGCTTGTGTATGTGGTGATTCAAGTGGTGCTTGGAGGCGCTTATTTATAGTAAGTGGGACAATAAATAGTGTCACACTTTTTTATTTTTACTTTTACTTTGTTATCTTTTCCTTTTGATTTTTTTATTGGTTTTACCGGCCATAACTATCTACAATACTAATTCTTTGTTCTTATTCATAAACCAACCAATGTTATCATTTACTTTTCATATTCTAATAAATATATTAATACACATATTCTTACACTTATATAACATTTTAGACGCTGTTAATATTTCATATAGACATGTTTTATGACGTTTTTCAAAACGTTACTATTCGCAAGACATTTTCAACAAACTAACATATTATATTACATTAATGACCCTGTATTTTTAATTTATAGATATTATTTATTAATACATATCGGAGTATCAACTTCTTCATATACTTTTATATAGTTTGATTCATTTTCGTATTTATCTAACCAATATTAATTTTTTTTTTCGAAACGATAGAGAATATATATAACAAACGCACAAAAGTGCAAAGATACAACCCAAAGTTGAATAACACAACCCTACACTGATGCTAGCAAAAGCTAGAAACCAAACAGGACACTCAGGACAACAAAACAACAAAGACACTAAAACTACAACTTAAATCTCCCCACAGGAGAATAGAAATAGGAGCATGTCCCCACAGGATAATCAATTTGCTCCCACTCACACAAGGCCAACGGCCCAGACCAAAGAGACAAGACATAAACACTCAGGCAAAGAACCCAGACCAAAAATATTTAACTAAGACAGACTCAAGCCACAACAAAAAGAAATAAAAAAAAGCCCTTCCCCAGCAAACGAAAGAGCTCGACCCGCAGTGAAACGATCAACACAAGAGAGATTCTAGGTCCGAGAAGTGGCTATCGAAACTGCAAATCGCCTATACAGTAGAATCAACCGAACCCCAAACCAATCCCTGAATCGACCCGTCCCCAACCAAGAGAGAAATGACTAGCTCCCACACCTGACCTGCCCGAGCTCGTCAAACACCACTAGCCGAGCTCGAGAGAACTATAACCCCCACTGACTAACACCACTAGCCGCACAGGGGAGGGTGAGAATGGCATGCCCCCTCAACTCCAAACGCTACAACAGGCTGTCGCAGCACTGGAGTCCCGCCCCATCCGTTACCACACACGCTGCCCAATACCACCACGGAGCACCACCGTCCTAAAGCCAGGCCCCACCATAACGGCGAGGCCCCACTAGAAAAGTGCAGCCCAACAGCCGCAGACAAGGAGAGGTGAGGAGTTTACCTCCACAGCGCAGCTCCCTCCAACAATTGAGGGGAAACTCGATTCGCCGGCCGAACGCCGACCAGGAAAGTCGCCACGACCAACCGGAGCCCCATCCGCTACCACCTGAGCGGGCCACCAACCACATCCATGGCCATATCAAGGCACGCCACATCAGTAGATGAGCAGGTGGTGAAGAACGACTACAGGCCTTGACATCTCCGTCACCGAGGAAGGCTAAATCGAAAGTTGGAAGAAAAGCCGGTCGGATTTGGGAAGGAGAGGGTTTCGCCGATTTTGGGAGGAGAGATTAATTCTTGATATATATTAATTTCATATTATGTCATCGGTCCAAATAATAAAATTAAACCATTTAATGATGTTGAATCCAACACAAAAATAACAGAACATTGAACTTTTCAAAATATGTTCATCATTTTCATCTCATGTCGAAATTACAAATTTTAATGTGAACCTTAAATATCTCATATTTATTAAATATATGTACATATTTTTAAAAAAACATGACGATTCATATAATTAATTTTAGCATATATCATATGTTAGATGTTATTGGTTAGGCTGAAGACACTCATTGTATTCAAATAAATAATATATAACTTTTATTTTCATATGTATTTATTTTGTTGCAATAATAAGATGTTAAATATAAATAATTATGTATAAAATAAAATTTTAAAAATATGATTTGAAGTAATATGCTCTCGCACGGGATGTGCACTAATAAATCAAGAAATCTAAATTTGTTTTCTCACACGAGTTCAAATGTTCATGTTACAGTCAACGTCAACCACGCATGTGGTTGAAATTAATTAATTTTAATGATGAGCTTGAGGAAAAAAAAAAAGGTTGAAGGATATGATGCCTCTTTGATAAAATTGCCTATCGCATGCCAGTGCATGATTTTCCTGATATTTTTACTGTATGAAAAGTGAAAACACAAACAAACAGTAGATTTAGTTAATATTGTATATGTAAAGTTATGATCAATAGAAAATTAAATAATTTCAATAAAATATTTGAAATATGTTGATTTTTTTTGGAATTGTAATCATTATATTCCAAGCATAATTTCAACAAAGCATTTTATTTTTTAATGAATTTTCGTTTGGAGGTGTAATTATGAGTATGATCTGATAGTATAACTGTCTCACAAAAATGATGCAAAAATTTTTAACAAAGAATCAATAAAAGGTAAAAATTTACCCTTGATCCACGTTTATGGAGTCATTTTCTAACCAATCTATATAGCATGTGTTTTACGGTTAATCATTTTTTACTATTAACACAATAAAAAAATTGTAACCACTCTTTTTTTTTATGTTAATCATTTTTTACTATTAACACAATAAAAAATTGTAACCACTTTTTTTTTTTTATATTTTACTTTTTTATTTTTCGAAACGATAGAGGTTTTATAAGAGGCACAAAAGTGCAGCCAAAAATTGAAGGATACAACCAATAACTGAAAAACTAAGAGGACAAACCCGAGTATCGCCTAAAGTCTAACTAGCAACGCTAAAACAACACACTCATAACACATACCATCATCAATGATCCCAACAGAATAATGTCCGCTCAAAAACAGATGCCAACCACCCAATTCATTTTACTTTTCAACAGTAGTATTTCTCAAAAAAAAAAAAATATTATAACAACGATTACCAAGATATTAGTTTTAACTTTAACTAGTACAATACTCTTGTATTGTACATGTACTTAAATATATTAATATTGTACAATAAAATAAAATAAACAATTTATATTTTTATTGTGAAATTTTGTAACGAATATACAAAAATAATAAATAACTAACACAGTGATAATTAATTTAAAATGATGTCTGCATTTTTACACTTAATTTATCAAACATGACATTTTTTATTATATTTATAAAATTATATATGTCTAAATCATACATTACTTAAAACTCCATATATTTGATTCAATTTTTTT